AAACTAATGGGGTTTATTGTTTTTATAATACCTAATTGTATACAGCATTCAAACAACACATCCTTATGCACTTAAAGTATTAATATTTTTGATTCTCTAGGAATGGTTTAGAATATACCTTATTTAGCAAAACAACGTTTGCCGGGTCAGCTAGTATATATATATATATATATATATATATATATATATAAGTTTAAAATTTTGGAAAAACGACAATGCGGTTCTACGTTAGAATCCACGTGAATTCCGTCGCTGAAACCGAGTGTGCGGAAAAAGAAACATTGCGAAGTTTTCAATCGATTTCAAAATTCATTTCTCTTCGAGCGGATATTCTGAAAATTGATGTGCACTATGTGATGGCTACGGGCGAAGCTAAAATTTTATGACCGTTTTCATAACGTGATAAATGAAATATGATTTTGCGAAAAACACAAAAGCATCAAACAAAGAAAATCTGCAGGAAAAATAATATAGTAGAAACAATTGGATCAATATTATTATTGAAATTTTATATCATAAAATCAAGGATCTAAGAAATGTATTGTAAAAATACATTACACAATAGAGCTTGCCAGTTGCTCAATTACTGCGACGTTGTATATTTTTATCAAAGTATTATGTTTCAAAAATTATTATTATTGGTATCCTGCCCGAAAGTAAATCATAAATATGATGTAAATCTAATAATTTAACTTACAAAGTGATTAAAATTCAAACAAAAATTATTATTCAATAATACAATATCCCTGACAACTCAGGTTACTACTCTAGTTTTCTTTTTTATTACTTTTAAAATATTATTTGTTAAATTGTTATTCTATTTTACTTTATTTAAAAATACACAGTATAGCTATATTTAAGTTATTGCTGTTAATTATATCTTTTTTATATATTTTATGAAAAAAAATTAAAATACATTTATATAATTTAAACCACGTAGAGTATTGGAGACACTTCCTTATATACAAGATTAATTAATTATTTTATGTTACGTTTTACTCTTTTTAATGATTTTGCGATATATTGTTATTTACTAAATTTATCTTTACTTGAAAAGTACTCAGTATAGTCATATCTTAATTTTGGCTGCTAATTAGATCATTTATATATTTATATTATTTTCAATTTTTGTGCACGTATTAAGAACTTATTGAGTTTGCTTTATATAATATTTAATCCATAAAAGAAATGATTTGCTTGATGTTTTATAATATTTTATAATGGTCAGTCAAAATATATCCCACTCCTATTAAATTAATAATTATATATCCTACTATTAAAAATTAGTTATAATATCTCCTAAGGACGTATTGAGTAATGTTATTTTATATATAGAAATATTCAAAAATTACGATTAGTCCAGTAAAACTTCTTAATGTGTTTGAGACAATTTGTCTATAAGAATAATAATCTTATAATGTTGTTTTTGCTGAAAACATTGCACGGTGTACCGGACACTAGTATTGTTTGTGATATAAGAAGTTCACGTCTTTTTTATATAAATTATTTAATATTTTACTATATTTCAGAAACTTCAATAAATAATAATAATCATAAAAGATTGATAATAAAGCCTGCTTCCACATACAAAAATTAATGTATATATATATATGATTTAGTAGTTATTTAGTAGTTTAGTAGTAAGTAAGTAAAAATACCTAAAAAAATTTCCAGTTTTACGAAACAAAACTCATTTTTCTTACTAAAAATAATTCATGATTATCGGCTGGTTAGTTGTATCAATGTTAGTGCAAAATTCTGTGATGTGTACACATTTTTAGATATAAAATACCATGTTCAATATCCACTGATGATGACATTAAATTGAATGTCGAAACGTTTGAAATTAAAGATTATTTTATAAATCTTTGCCTTTTCTTTGAAGTATCGCCCCCAAGAACTCACTTATATATATATATATATATATATATATATATATATACCTATACCTTTTCAACCCTCCTATAAAACCATCCCAGTAACCTCATTTTTTACACCAAATGACTATAGCCCGAGAGCCAGTAACAGATTTATATGACCAAGTTCCTCTCAAGTGATAATTGGTAAAACGCATCAGAAAATCGAACTATAAAGCCTCGTGAATGTCAGCTGAGGCTCGGTGGGGGGGATGAGTAATTGTAACCCCCCCCACGCTTGAAAAAAAAAAAAAAAATTCACTCATTTCCTCCCGGCTAAAAGTTTATCAAGTTATAGCTAACCCAATACCTCAACAAAAAAAAAACGTCAGCTGGTTATAACATAGTGCATTGTACGTCAGCTGATGGCTAGATCATGGGGAAAAAAATCTTCACTTTCAGTGATATCCTCTCGGTTAAAAATTTACCAGATGATAGCTTATATGTAACAATTGATAAATATATACGTCAGCTGGCTGTATCTCGGTGGAAAAATCGTCAGCTGATACTTTGAAAGTCGTTACGTAGAAGTTAGCCAGAAGCATTTATTGACTATTTAAAGGCATCAGCTGACCAGGTTTCCCTCGACTTATTGCTAGCTGATTTTTTTTATTCATCACTATATTATATTTAAAATCAGCTCACAAATTTTCGTGTGGGAGGAAATGGCGCCTCTTTAACACGTTCACTGCGTAAGAATTTTTTCACTACTAGTGCGTATGGCATTACGAGGCCGAAATGTACTCGTAATGCTTCTTCCATAATCACGCAACCAGAAAATACAGATGTTATAGTGTATGACGGATATTTTATGTTACATCAGATGAAAGATGTACCTTTTAGCTTTGGAAATATTTCAAAAAAAGTACTGCAAATGATATGTGCAACCACAGCTAAGATCATATACATTGCCTTCGACAGATACATTTTTCCATCAATAAAAGACACAGAACACAAACTACGAGGCATGGAGCAAGCATACTTCCATATCGAAGGCCCTGATCAAGTGCGAAAAAAAGATTTTTCTCTTGAGCTGAAGAACGTTAATTTTAAGGAAGCACTGGTACAGTTTCTTATTGAAAATTGGGAAAAAGATTATATGTGGTCGTATATAAAGGATAAAACAGTTTATGTGAGTGCAGACTTTTGTTTTCGATTCATAGTTAATGACTCAAAAGTTATAAAAACTCGTGTTGAAGAATTTTCGTGTCCGGCTCACAAAGGAGCAGACACAAAAATGATTTTCCATGTCTGCAACATTGATATTAATGCAAAGGTGACGATTCGTTGTTCCGACACTGACGTGTTAATAATTATGTTAGCTAACATGGCTAATATATCAGAAAATATCAACATTTGCATGGAAGTTGGAGTTGGAAAAGCCCAAAAATTTATAAATGTTACTCAATTATATGAATCTTTGGGATCTGATTTGAGCGCAACACTTCCGGCATTTCACGCATTCACAGGGTGTGATTTTAACCCGGCTTTTTTTCGAAAAGGAAAAAAACGACCATTTTCAATAATGCCTAAATCGAATGATTTCATCGAGTGTTTCATCCAAATGTCAAAATCAAAGAATAGAGACAATATTTTTGAGAAAATTCAAGAGTTTGTTTGCCATATGTATGGATTAAATCGTCTGAAGAAGGTCAATGAGGCAAGAGTAGTGTTGTTTGAAAAAACATATAAATTATTGGATACGGAGACATTCAAGTTACCTAAGAAAGGTATTGATGGCTCTTCTCTACCACCTTGCGAGTCAGAGCTATATCAGCAATTTTTAAGAGCATGCTATATTTCTCAAATTTGGTCAAATGCACACTTGAAGGTTCCAACTTCTGATGATCCGGAAGACTATGGTTGGGAAGAAATTGACAATAAATATGATTTTACCTGGTTCTTTGGAAGTCAGTTACCAACATCGATTGATGAAATAACTATCCAGCCCGAAAAAGGTAACATTTTATTATCATATTAATGATATTATGCTAAAATACGCATTCTAATTTTTTTTTTACAGATGATGACAATGAAAATATAACAGCAGACAGCTCTGACAGTGACTCGGACAATGAATCAGAGAGAGATAGTTGTGGCTCAAGCCAAAGCGAAGCCGAAAATGATTAAATAACATTGTCATTCGAATTGTAATTTATCATAATTTTTTTATAATAAATATTTTTTATCAAGTAACTAGTTAAATTATACTAAGCAAATTGATTATTGAAATATTGGAATATATCTAAAATTATATGATTATATACTTATAAGTCTAAAAAATATTGATATAGATTATTTGTTTCATCTCAACACTCATATTGGAGTGCTATGCCGAATAATTAAAGAGACGTCATTTCCTCCCACACGAAAATTTGTGAGCTGATTTTAAATATAATATTGTGATGAATAAAAAAAATCAGTTAGCAATAAGTCGAGGAAAACCTGGTCAGCTGATGCCTTTAAATAGTCAATAAATGCTTCTGGCTAACTTCTACGTAACGACTTTCAAAGTATCAGCTGACGATTTTTCCACCGAGATACAGCCAGCTGACGTATATATTTATCAATTGTTACATATAAGCTATCATCTGGTAAATTTTTAACCGAGAGGATATCACTGAAAGTGATGATTTTTTTTCCCATGATCTAGCCATCAGCTGACGTACAATGCACTATGTTATAAACAGCTGACGTTTTTTTTATGTTGAGGTATTGGGTTAGCTATAACTTGATAAACTTTTAGCCGAGAGGAAATGAGTGAATTTATTTTTTATTTCTTCAAGCGTGGGGGGTTACAATTACTCATCCCCCCCACTGTGCCGCAGCTGACGGTCATAGGGCTTTATGATACTGTTGTCTGATGCGTATCGCCAATTATCTATCGAGAAGAAATAATTAACCAAATTTGCACCTGGCTCTTGGACTACTAGATTAGTAAAGATTTACTAAAAAGTTTTTCTAAGCTTTTATAGGTTTTTATGATTAGTGTTATTAATTTAACGTCATTGCAATAAAATTTCTAAAATTTCTAAAATTTCTAAAATTTCTAAATTCAATTTTCACAGTGACCATATGACTCACCTTTGTGAGCGATGTCGTCCACGCGGTCCATGAGACTGTGACTGTGCCATGGCGCCACGGGCCCGATCTGCTCCGCCGGCAGAATGATGGTGGCCGCGCCGCGTCCCTGCAAATTCAATTATATTATTAGAATATGAAAATTTACTTTTGTCTTATAAATACATTTAAAAAACCTTAATTTAAAGCTACTTTCTTATTTGATATTTTATTGATTCCAAGTATGCAAGAAATAATTACTAAAAACAAGAAATCAACCGGTAAAAAAGAAGACCTGCATTTGTGGTAAAATACTATTCTATTTCTATTCTGTTTTGAGCCGTGCGAATGTTGGTTACGATGTATGACTTGTACTCTGCGTTCATGCTCCATGTTCTTAATAAGACGAAACAATTTTTTTATGAACTACTTTCTTAAAAATTATTATCAGTATGTATTTATCGTATATGCCGTTCTATACGTACTATATGGACAAAATGGTTTTTGTAATAGGTTTAATTTTTCCTTAATAAATATGCTATTCTATTTCCTCTCCCTACTTAATTAAAATACTACTTTACTAGTAGTCAATGAACCAAAGATGAGTAAGAACAATTTAGATTGATTTCAATATTATTCAATAAATAAATATCATTAAAAAAACAAAACATGCTCTTATTATATATGTATATACATATATATATATATGCTCTTTTATCCGTATACAATATTTTATTAAATTCACACTTATTGAAAAATATATACAGACAAGGTAATTGCGGAAAAATAGCAATCTTATTTTTAAATTCTCCTTTACTGACTGCTATTGCTTAAAATGATTTGAGCGCATATATTACCTATATAAAGTTAGGTCATTCATGGATTACTCGTGGAAAAGTAATTAATAAAATAAAAACTAGAGAGTAAATTTCTTTTCAACGAGTTTTTGGATATAGAAACTATAAACATTACTATGTGTACATTTATATAAATAACCTACCTTTGGAATATAAAAATATAACCACAATTTAGAAGTAACAATAAAAATATCTATCGCAAGACAAATATACCTAAAACTGATTACTTTCTATTCGAGCAATTGCTCTACTTAGTTAAATTTTATTTACTTTTTATAAGAACTAGTAATAAAACTTAATAAAAACCTTGTGTCAAATATTCAATTCTACTATGTTCTACAACATAGATATGGTAGTCCAAAAATCATTTTTCGATAGAAGAAAAATTTCAAAACAATCATATCCCGGTCGAGCTGTTGCGATTTATTCATGAAGACGTATTTTCTATTACATTTTAGATGTATTGAAAATAAGAATAACTTTACATGACATTCATGGGACATAATCCTCTTTTTTGGTTTCCTTATGTTATATGCAGGAGCGCTCTCCCGCTGCCACAAATATTATTATATGTAACTGAAGGAATAATCTAAAACGAAAACAGAAAGCGACATTTCCTATTGCGACCGTAAAAAATAAGAGAAAAATCATTTGGTACATATATATTTTAATTTAATGAAAACTAACGTGTTTAAAATATCGACTATTTTTTTTCTCTCTTTTATTTTAGATTTTCTAGGTAATTCAAATATATTAAATGTTAACAAATTGTAGTACCATAAATAATACATTCAATTAATATGCTAGAATGAAACTGATTAATCATAATTTTCAAACTAAAATCAGAATTTTGATAATATTTAACAATATTGATAATATATCGGCAATCGAGAAGATAAGTTTAAACAAAATACAAATGAACAAATAGTTAAAATTTCATAAATTAATTATTACTATTATTAAATTGAAATTCACATATCTGAGTATGCACTATGGAACTAAGATATTTGCGCAATTACGCAATTTTTAAGTTTGACATACATTTCGTTTTTTTTGCCTATATGTCAGAATTATTAACTATTTGATATGGATCTTTTTTTTTATTTATATATATACATTATTTTCATATCTCAAACAGACAGAAGTGCCTGGTATGAGAGATTATAAAAAACAGTTTTCATATTTTATATATACATATATATTTCTAATAAAATCATCAACAAATAAAAGTAAAATGATTGACCGCTAGGTTGCTCTCTCGAGAAAACACTAAGTTATGGAAAACAGTTGTTCTAATAGCTGTTAGATTATAAAAAAGTCAGAATCGGTAAGAACGAGATTTGATTCCATTTGATTGGATATCATATAAAATCAAATAATTTATTCTGTTTTTTCTTCAAATTTATTCTGTTATTTCTTCGGCGATTCGAACAAAAAAGTTTCCAACTCAAAAACTGTTAGGATGTAAGATTCCTTTGCGATGGTACACGCATTATTATAATTAAAATTTGTGTTTTTACCATATTTGCTTTATGGGCTAAATTTTGTTTTACATAAACAATAGGGGAGCAAAAAATCAGTAATTAAGCCTATGTACGCAAATGCAAAGCAAAAAATTATGTTTAAACATATTTTTGGTGTTAGTCAATTATGTGACTTTCAAGTAGGGTAGAGCGGGGCTAGTTGAGCATAGGGGCAAGTTGAGCAATCGAAATATCTCAAAAACTATTCACCGTCCGTTTAGGCATTATATGGCGGAAAGATAGAGGTTTGGGAGAAATAAACATCCCGCGATCGCTAGTGGCCGCTGGACAAATCAGTGAGGCTCACGGGCGTTTTGTTTATTTTGAGACCAAAAAGTAAAAACGTAATTCATCACGAGTTTTCGTCTGGTTTAGTGAAATGTTATTTATTTTTAATCAGGTAAATGTTATTCTTCAATATAATTATAGTACTTTTAATATGCACAGAGATTCTGGCTATAATTCTCACGTTTTTTTTATAAACTCAATTTTATTTTGAAATTCCGAGTTGGGGTTAGTTGAGCATAGTTGCTAAACTTGTTATGTCACTAAGACAATTATCATTAACTTCCAGAAATTGATTATTATTTTTAAGATTTAAGCTAAGTCTATGAGTAATAATATAAAGAAATAATGATTTTAAACAAAAATACTGAATATAATGGTAAAATAATTCCTAAGATACGATATTGTTCTGTTGATTCTACTTTTCGTTAATTATTCAAAGCAAATTACTATAAGTTTTGTTTTCTCTGTCAATAAAGATTATAAATATAGAACTGGTTATTAAAAACTTATTTTATTTCATCACTAATCGACATTGAACCTGTGATTTCATTATACTTTCTTAGTGCTCAACTTGCCTCACCTATGGGGTACATTGAGCATACTTGACTTTTTGCATTTAAACAGCTGTAGCTTTTAAATTTGACTTATTACCAAAAAATAGTATTAACACTTTTGTTAGGCGATAAACAACAAATCCATTAAGCCATATAGCAATTTATTGAGACTTTTCATTGAGGTGCTACATCCGTTTAAGTAAAAATTTGCTCAACTAGCCCCGCCCTACCCTAACAGCGGTCTATAATGTTTCGCACTTTTGTATGTATATAAAAGAAAATGTTACTCCAGCTTGAAAAGCTTACCAAAGATCATAAATATTGATTGTCTTGACAACATTATAGAAGTATTATGCGTTATTTCACAGAAAAACCATAATTATTTGGTAAAATAAGAAAAAAATGGTATGTGACCCGAAAGTTACGCGGGTCCATAAAAGGTTAATTTCGTTCAGTTTTCTATATTCATGCATAAAAAAGAAACTAATCATATACAAGAATGAAACATCCATCTTTAACCTTAAATAAAAACCTAAGGGTGTGTTTTATCTCATCAGTTTGTACAGACGTTTCTTAGAAATAATATCTGCAACTATGTGCGTGCGCCAACATTATTAACGCAACAGTACGCATCGACTAAAGTGTGAATGCGAATTACTTTTCCTGTGTATGAAACATGACTTCTTTCATAAAATATGAGAGCATTTGGCACATTATTTCGAACCCATTAGGTTAGCAACGCCAGGGGTGGTAAACTCATGGGGGTGGTTGCACATTGCTGGGACGGACCCAGCTAAATTCCACGCTTTTCGTTGTACATATTAAATATCATCATGCATTGTAATATTAAATGACGTCAAGTGCGCTATAAAGTTTACAATTGGGGGACTGCACAGAAACAGAAAAGTTTGTAGTATTGTGATTTGAATTAATCTTAATATTAACGCGGTATTTTCGTTTCTGATGTAAAATATCTAAGCGAAGGGCGGAAGGCTCCAACGCCATTTGGCAAAACAACACCCGTTGTATATATAACATGTAAAATCAATAGATTCAAAGCAATTTTGTTTTATATTAATGTTTTTGTGTGAAATTGTTTTTATGTATGTATATGCCTATTGTCTGAAAACATTTTTTTCTTATAAGAATTTATTTTGGTTGAAGATCAATATTGCTTTAACAATGTAGAATAAATGCCTGCATAGTTTTATAACCTTAATAACTATATAATGTAGTAAATTTTTTATATAATAAATAATATTTATAATTTTCTATTCTGTCAATCCACTTAGCTCTTTTTATCTATGAAATAAACAAAATTATTATCATCTCTAATAATTTGCAATTCAAAGTTAATTTTTTTTAATTTATCGGAAATGAGGTACATTTCAGGCATATCCTGATGTATAAAACCAGACTTACTGAACATTCTTATAGCCTAGTAAAAAATGTTGTTAGATCAATTTTATGAGAGAAAAAATTGAGAAAACAATAATAGCCTATATTTTAACTCTAAAAATCGATTTCATTTTTTTCATTCTATAATCACTTTAAAGAGCTACATCACTGGACGACCTTAGATTATCTTCATTCTAATACATAAAATGTAGATAATTCACGCAAATAAATAAAATTTTAAAGAGCAATCAAAGCCCAATACTATTAATATGGTTAGATAAAACTATAAGCTACTGCCATTGGCAATGGCAATACAAAATATTAAATATTTGTAAAATCAGTAAGATTTATGTGCAAATATCATCGCAATGTTGTACTTTTTAACCTCCTAAGGTTAAGTTATAGTAAACGCAGCACATCAAAAACATTTGTATATATCTTTACGTTTCAAACCCTTCTAGATATTGTGACATAAGTTAGAAAAAAAACGATATATGTGTGTTTGTGTAT